CCATGTACAACAGAACAAAACACCACCAGTCCTGTGCCAGCCTCACAATACTTGCGATACTTGAGCCTATCATTGTAGCCACTGTGTCAATCCATCTCATTGAGGGCCTTTCCCTTTTTCATTGACCTTTCACTTTACCAAGCATGATATCCTTCTCCAGGGAATGGTCCTTTCTGACAACATGACCAAAGTAGGTCAAATGACGTCTGGCCATTCTCACTTCCAAGGAGCATCCTGGCTGTACTTCTTCCAGGGCAGATTTGTTAGTTCTTTTGGCAGTCCATGGTACTTTCAATATCTTTCCCAAAACCACAGCTCAAAAGTATCAACTCTTCTTCAGTCTTCCTTATTCATTGTCCAGCTCTCACATTCATATTTAAAAACAAAAAAACAAAACAAAACAAAAAAAAACCCTCACTGTCATCGAGTCGATTCTGACTCCTAGCAATCCCCTTTGGGTTTCCAAGGTGGTCAATATTTACAGAAGTAGATTCCCCAGTGAGTCGGAGCTGACTTGATGGCACCTAACAGCATACAGATATATAGATACATAAATGTATCTCAGAGAAATGGCTCACACAGTTGTAGAGGCTGGCAAGTCCAAAGTTCATGGGTCAAATGTCAAGCTGGAGGCTTTTCCTGACTCATGCAGCTGCAGGGGGCTGATGAACCCAAGATCAGCAGTCAGTATAGCCGGCTGCTGACTTCAGTGGATGATGAATCCAAGATTAGCAGGTAATACGGAGGATTGTTGGCTCACAGGCTGTAAAGACAATTCCAAGACTGGCAGGCAAGACATCAGGATCCAGATCCAACAGGAAGTCTCAGAATTTTCCCAGAATCTCCATATACATTGGAAGCAGGTCCCTGAGGAAACCCCCTTTCAACTGATTGCTCAAAGTATGGAGATGACTACCTTACATCAGATCTCATCATGGGAATGACCACACCACAGCTGCTTAAACTACTCAGAATCATAGTCCAGCCAAGTTGACACACA